TATTGACGCGAAGGGGTAGCACAAGAGAGACATATTATGAGAAATACTTCAATTTCCCTGAAGAACCGTCAGGAAACAGAAACATATCAAGATTATAGCACCAACTAATAACATATATAGAGAACTTTTTTCAAAAGAAAATACTTAATAAAATTGAATCTTATATTCCCCAGACTATTGAAGAGAACTGACCATTTATGATTCACTACTAATGTAACAATTAGCTAGTAGAGAACTAAATACTACTACTCAATTACTTATCTGTTTCTGTCCGGATTGTATATACGTACTCACACAATTACATCAAGATCTCATGTAGTGCACATAATCCTATGAAAATTATATTAGTATGGGGTAAGGTAAGTGCAGAAAACAGAAAACAGAAAATTCTCCAATTCACAATGTCTGATTTGGACTTACAAGGTTTGACATTGGCCAACCGTATGCAACAAGATTTTGACCAAAACCAAAAAGAAGAACAGGATTATATTGAGTGTCCATTATGGGACACTCGATTCTCAATTAGGCAATGGAATAGGTAAATCTATTATCTTTGTTTCTTTCCTTATGAGGTCCATTTATCCCCATATTTTCTGCCAATATGTCAATTTTTTTATTTTAATACGACCAATATTGAAATCATGAAAAAACAAAAATTGAAAAAGAAAACCTTGGGGTTCAAACATCTTTGCACCTGAAAATAAGGTTCACCATCATACAAGATAAAACAAGCAATGAAGAATTGGGACCAAAGATTTCTTCAAGAGTATATTTCAGGAAAACGCAAACATTTGGATGGTAACCTTAATATATTGTTATCTTAAAATATATATTGTTCAAACATCTCAGTACCCGAATAAATCTCCAACATCTCAGTACGCGAAAATAAAGCTCAAACATCTCAGTACGTGAAAATAAAGCTCAAACATCTCAGTACCCGAAAATAAGGCTCAAACATCTTAGTACCCGAAAATAAAGCTCAAGCATCAAACAAGATAAACAAGCAATGAAGAATTGGAACCAAAGATGTGTTTAAACAAATTTTTAAACGATCTTATACATAATACTAGTGAAAACAAACCTAGGTCGCAAACTAACCCAACAACGAGGAAAGAGAGCAAGATATGTTTAGGCACAAAAGATATAGTAAAAACAAAAGAAGATAGAGTAAACACGATACCCATCTTAAAATCAAAACACAAAGACAATATCATGCTCAATTAGAAGACCTACAATGACAATCAGAAAATCAGAACCCAAAGAGTTGACAGCAGTAGTTAAGAAAAGAAAATTCTATTAAAAGTTAAAGAAAAAGAGCTCTTAAAATGCCTGACTTGCTTCTATCACCTGAAAAAGGGCCCAGGACATCTACTGACCATAATTGAATCAAAATCAATTAACACAATGCTAAAATCAGAACAATCTACACACAAACCAAAAATCCATACATTTTAAAAAATAAGCTTAATGTACAAGTTTTTAAACTGTTGAAGAGTAAACTAAGTCAAATTTATGGTGTGCCAAGCCAACCTTAGTTATTATACTCTGATACACACAACAGTTAGAAACTATAGAGCAGGGATAGTATAATTAGAGATCAGACAGTAACAGAAACTGCGTCGGCTCCCATTAGAAACTCTGCCCCACTGCAGGCTTAGGCACATCAGAAAGTACATGGTTTTTTCTTTTCTTTTTTGTAAATGATGAGAACCAAGGATCCTGTTTAACATGTCCAAATAAAAATGGTTTCCTATTTTTATTGTTTGGAGTGCCCTCATCAGCTCTGGCAATTGTTTAAAACGTGGAGCTTCTAAGGTTTCTGTTTATTTGATTTTCAATCATTGATGATAATAAAAGAAAATTTGAGTGGACTTAAATTGTGCTCATGTACATTGACAGAACACATTTGAAAAGGTGAAATATTACAATACCAAATGAACTCTAACCAAAGCTGTGTACAATTTTATTTACCAGATAAGGCTACTTATATATAAAAAATTCACTGCTGCTTGCTGGGCATTCTAATCTATATATAATGCTCAAACTACCTCAACATCTCATAAGATGCAGATAGTATACTTTAAAACTCACTTACAACCTTTCTTCTTCATCAACCCAAGTTCTCAGTGAAAATCATACTAGTATGAAACAAACCTAAATTTTATTTACCATAGATTTCCTAAACAAGGCTCAAAACATCTGATAAGACAAAACCAAAGAACACAAATTGGTAGCATAGATTTCTTAAACAGTAGCAGCTCTGTAAATTGTTGCATGAAATGTCATTAATCTTTAAAACATAACCATAGTGATGGCAACATAAATGAGACCCCAGAAAAATAAACAAAAAAGGAGGGAAGTTCAAAAATATAGAGGAGAAATGAAGATGGTGTACCTGATTATCAGAGTCACTGAAGCAAATGCCACTGCAGGGTTTAAAAGAAGGGGACAGACTCCATAGTTTTCCTTCATATTATGGCATTATTGACGTGAAGACAGTACAAGAGGGAAAAAAAATTGGGGGGACCTGACCAGCCAACAACCTTTGCAACAGAACATCTCTGACAAGAAATCCTTATTAAATCAAAACCAACATAAAGATGCAGAAACATTCTTTTACAAGGAATAATTTGTTGCTCAAGATGCTAAATATTCTGGCTTGCATCATTATCATTCTTTATTAAACCAAAAAGAAGAAAGAAAAACTAGCACAATGATAAACTCAGAAAGCAATGTACTCGGAACAAAGAAAAATAAACTTTATGAACAAAGCACATACTTTGCTAATGTATCCAAGATATCTGGATGTCTAGGATTGCATCAGGCAGAGACAACTATATCCACACTGGAAATCTCATCTATAACAAATTAGAAAGTAAAACTTAAAAGAGATTCCCTAATAATAGCAAGATTCTAAGTTATCTATAACAAAATAGAAAATCCTGTTGAGGTGGCTCTCAATGAAAGCATCAATTTGTGGGATGTGCATTCCACACACACTTTGAGACGTCTCAATTAAAAGAATGCAACTGAGTCCTTTGCACACCAACCTTCTCAACCGTTCCTATCGATCTTAAAATGTGAATCTAAGCCAATAGCTCCTTTGTATCTACACGTGATGATCTTCACAGCATTATAAAAGTATTAACTTATCAGCCCATGGTCTATAGCCAAGAAATTTAACTTATTGTCACCTCCCATGTACATGCTCAAAGATCTCATCGTCTTTGAGTGGCATACATAGATCCCTCTAAGCCAAGTAGGAAGTATTTGAAACAAAAAAACAAAAATGGATTATAGCATCCAGGACATCACTATAGAAGCTATTACAAAAAGATCACTGCACAGACCTTTTTATAGCACTTTTAGAAATGATTGTGATACATTATGTTAATGAAAGCAGCAGTTTCTTAAGAGCAATGTTAGCTAAGCATAAAGCAAAGATAACAAATCATTTATTGTATGGAAGGTCACAAGAAAACCTATTAGAACAATCAATAATGGAATTTTCACACTCCATTTTCCTTTTCAAGTTAACAAAAACAAATATTATCTATAATATAAAATCTTTAGCAATTTTACCTGAAATAGCCATGATATAACACTTACTGAAGAGATGATGAAGGCCACACAACTCCAACAGCAATGCAAACTGCAAACTTTACCAGCCACCAAGCCAAAAGAAATTGAAAGAAAACACCATTATAAGGAGCAATCCCAAGCTTCTATACTAGCCCAAACGAAATTTGGATGAGTGCAGGGAATAGCAAACTGAAAACTCTACAGGGCACAAAGTGTGTATTAACAAACACAAATTTTATTTACCTAGTTTTCCTAAACAAGGCATAAACACCCGACAAGATGAAACCAACAAACACAAACTGGTAGCATAGATTTCCTAAACAGTAGTAGCTCTGTAAATTGTTGCATGAAATGTCATTCATCTTTAAAGCACAAATTTAGAGGTGAAACGGAGATAGGTTACCTGATTATCAGGGTTACTGAAGCAAATGCCAAGGGGTTAGAGGAGTGGGGCACACACTCCATAGCAACAACCTTCGCAACTGAACAGCTTATACAAGAAATCATTTTATTTGTACAGATGCGAAACACTTATTCATCATTTCATTCCTTTAATAAATCAAAACAGACTTAAAGATGCAGAAACCTGATTAGCTGGAGTTTGGAATTTCTCTATGGTTTACGTTCATAGGGACAAAAAAGCTGCGGCTGATGCACCTGCGAAGATGGGCGATTGTCTCCAAGTTCTTGATAAACTTCCATGGAATTTGATTTCAGTTTTATTGCAAACTTACATACTTTTGTCCCTCGTGACCAAACCATTTGCTCTCAGTTGCATTAGCCATCAAATAGCAATCACACAAAAACTGGCACACAAAAAAAAAAACGAAATAAACAATACAAAGAGTAGAGAGAGAGAGCACAGTGGGCCACTTCATCTGACATTTACAATGTATGATATGAAATGTATAATGTTTATGGCCAATGAACATCGATAGTATACACAAACACACACAACAGAACATACACACTTTATCTTCTGTTGTATCCTGGAAAAAGTTCCAAGAAGTAAAACATTTTAGAGACACGATATCGACATTGGAAACCTCATCTATAACAAATTATATCCTGAACATACACACATTTTATCTTATATGCATCATAACAGTGCATACTTTGCTAATGTTTCCAAGATATCTGGATGTGTAGGATTGCATCAGGCAGATACTACCATATCCACATTGGAAACCTCATCTATAACAAACTAGAAAGTAAAACTTAAAGAGATTCCCTAATAACAAGATTCTAAGTAATCCATCTTGTCAAGCAGTGGGTTATATTCCAAATCAGGCATCTCAACAATAAAAAATCAGAATTACTAAAGTATATATTCAACTACTTACCATATACAACAAATAACAGAGGCAAGGTCGCTTGTAACCTATGCCTCATTTTCCTTGTAAACTCTAACCTGTACTTCATGAGCAGATCTCACCTTCCTCCCAATTGCTTTCCTGCCAGCAGATCTCGCCTTCCTCCTGATCTGCATTCAGAAAAGCCTCCTCGTCCTGACCCTGTAACTCGTCATCTTCTTTGAGGTACAAACCCAAATGCTTAAGGGGCAATCCAAGGTAGACCCTTTCACTGCCACAGCCACACAGAATCTCAAGTTGTTTGACATCCCTTAAAGGGTCCTCAAATTGGACTGACTTCTCCATGTTCAAAACGGCACGGCGAGCCAATTCCCTTTGATCCATCCGATGCATCAATTTTCTCCTTGGTGGAGAATCAGGTAGACCCTTAAGTATCTTGTTTGCTTTTCGTATTGTACCTGAAAATCGCATCTTGAGCGACTGAATTCGCCTAGCCTTACATGGAGAAAGATTGTCTGTGGCCTGATACATGGCATGATGAACAACTTACTGAAGAGATGATGAAGGCCACACAACTCCAACAGCAATGCAAACTGCAAACTTTACCAGCCACCAAGCCAAAAGAAATTGAAAGAAAACACCATTATAAGGAGCAATCCCAAGCTTCTATACTAGCCCAAACGAAATTTGGATGAGTGCAGGGAATAGCAAACTGAAAACTCTACAGGGCACAAAGTGTGTATTAACAAACACAAATTTTATTTACCTAGTTTTCCTAAACAAGGCATAAACACCCGACAAGATGAAACCAACAAACACAAACTGGTAGCATAGATTTCCTAAACAGTAGTAGCTCTGTAAATTGTTGCATGAAATGTCATTCATCTTTAAAGCACAAATTTAGAGGTGAAACGGAGATAGGTTACCTGATTATCAGGGTTACTGAAGCAAATGCCAAGGGGTTAGAGGAGTGGGGCACACACTCCATAGCAACAACCTTCGCAACTGAACAGCTTATACAAGAAATCATTTTATTTGTACAGATGCGAAACACTTATTCATCATTTCATTCCTTTAATAAATCAAAACAGACTTAAAGATGCAGAAACCTGATTAGCTTGAGTTTGGAATTTCTCTATGGTTTATGTTCATAGGGAAAAAAAGGCTGCCGCCGATGCACCTGCGAAGATGGGAGATTGTCTCCAAGTTCTTGATGAGCTTCAGTGTAATTTGATTTCAGTTTTATTGCAAACTTACATACTTTTGTCCCTCGTGACCAAACCATTTGCTCTCAGTTGCATTAGCCATCAAATAGCAATCACACAAAAACTGGCACACAAAAAAAAAAACGAAATAAACAATACAAAGAGTAGAGAGAGAGAGCACAGTGGGCCACTTCATCTGACATTTACAATGTATGATATGAAATGTATAATGTTTATGGCCAATGAACATCGATAGTATACACAAACACACACAACAGAACATACACACTTTATCTTCTGTTGTATCCTGGAAAAAGTTCCAAGAAGTAAAACATTTTAGAGACACGATATCGACATTGGAAACCTCATCTATAACAAATTATATCCTGAACATACACACATTTTATCTTATATGCATCATAACAGTGCATACTTTGCTAATGTTTCCAAGATATCTGGATGTGTAGGATTGCATCAGGCAGATACTACCATATCCACATTGGAAACCTCATCTATAACAAATTAGAAAGTAAAACTTAAAGAGATTCCCTAATAACAAGATTCTAAGTCATCTATCTTGTCAAGCAGTGGGTTATATTCCAAATCAGGCATCTCAACAATAAAAAATCAGAATTACTATAGTATATATTCAACTACCTACCATATACAACAAATAACAGAGGCAAGGTCGCTTGTAACCTATGCCTCATTTTCCTTGTAAACTCTAACCTGTACTTCATGAGCAGATCTCACCTTCCTCCCAATTGCTTTCCTGCCAGCAGATCTCGCCTTCCTCCTGATCTGCATTCAGAAAAGCCTCCTCGTCCTGACCCTGTAACTCGTCATCTTCTTTGAGGTACAAACCCAAATGCTTAAGGGGCAATCCAAGGTAGACCCTTTCACTGCCACAGCCACACAGAATCTCAAGTTGTTTGAGATCCCTTAAAGGGTCCTCAAATTGGACTGACTTCTCCATGTTCAAAACGGCACGGCGAGCCAACTCCCTTTGATCCATCCGATGCATCAATTTTCTCCTTGGTGGAGAATCAGGTAGACCCTTAAGTATCTTGTTTGCTTTTCGTATTGTATCTGAAAATCGCATCTTGAGCGACTGAATTCGCCTAGCCTTACATGGAGAAAGATTGTCTGTGGCCTGATACATGGCATGATGAACAAGGGTGCCCAAGTCATCATCTTTGGTTGACTTAACTGAGTGAGAATCAGAAACCCCAACAACCTCTTGACTTTGTATAAGAACCCTACAAGCAGAAGAGCTCTTGCCATTTGGTCTCCGTTTGGGCAGAGGAGGAGTAGGAGGAGGACAAGCAGTCTTTGACATTTTCTCCTCGGCTTCTTTCCACTGGGTCTCAAAAACCCCACTGAGATGCTTGGCTGCTGCACGATTTCTACTCCCAAGGGGGAAATATCTGAAAGCGTTTGAGAAGATAAGCCTGACATCAGCAGCAAAGCCATCAGCGCTGGAGTAGACACCCTTCTCCAATTTCGATTTCACAGTACCCAAATCCATCGGCCTCCAGATTTCGTCGAAATAACCCGGCAAATTCTCAGCCACAGGATCAACAACAGGCTTGTTGAAGTAGCTCGCATGGCCGAGGTTCATCAGAGAATCCAAGACCTTAGAACAATCCAACGTCTCTTTTGAAGCAGACGAAACCAAAACTTTGACTTTGCGCAGAGGAAGACCAACAGTCGACTTTTCCTTCCGTTGGGTCTCAGAAACCCTAGAAGACCTCTTCCTCTTCTGGGTTTGACAGATTTCATCAAAACCCTCTTCTGATTCCGGTTTGGCATTTTTTGTAGCAGACGAAACCAAACCCATGCACAGAGGAAGACCAACAGTCGACTTTTTTTCAACGGCTACATTCCGTTGGGTCTCAGAAACCCTAGAAGACCTCTTCCTCTTCTGGGTCTGACAGATTTCATCAACACCCAGATCTTCTGATTCTGGGTCGGCATTTTTTGTAGCAGACGAAGCCAGACCCTTGCGCAGAGGAAGACCAACGGTCGACTTTTCCTCAACGGCTACATTCTCAGAAACCCTAGAAGACCTTATCCTCTTCTGGGTCTGAAACTGAAACTCAAAGGAACCAAAACCATCCTCCAATTGTCTGGGCTTTATAGCAGACCACGCCATTCTTGATTTCAGAACCCAAAATTTCACACAGTCGTTACAGAGAGAGAACCCAGAAAATCACTCGCTCAATCGTTGCAGAGAAAATCACTCGCTCAATCGTTGAACTCAATAGTCTCACTCGATCGCTTTCGCTTACTTGTTGCAGAGAAACAGAGAGATAGAGAGAGACAGACAGAGACGAAAAGAAGAGGGAATGTATTGTTGTGGCGCTATTTTGGTTTTCAAAATGTAAAATGAAAGGTCGGTGTGATAACTTGGTGACTCAGTTGCTGAGTTGTTGCGCGTAAAAAAGTAAAAAGTAAAAAACACGCAGAAACACAACATTTATTTATAAAAAAGATGGCCTTGGGCTTGGGGCACTTAGGTATTTAAGATTTAAATTAATTATTTAGTTTTAAATTAATGAATTTTTTTTAAAATTAATTTAAATTAGTTTAATTAATTTTATTGGGGGCTTATTTTTCTATTTTTAATAATAAATAGTATAATATATTGTCGTTTAATAATCGTGTTATACATATACATACGTAGTTTTCAACAATACTTCCACTTTCCGTACACAAGTAAAACGTACAATACACATACGTGCGGATTTCCCATGTTAAATACACGTGTCTTTACAAAATTATCAACAATACACACAAAGTTCACTTATTATACACACAATTTTGCATATTATTGACCAAAAATAATATATATTGAACATTCATATGCTTGGTAGTAAGGTAAGTTAGCCTAAGAAAAAACTTGGAAAACAAAAAATAGTTTGTATGATGTATTAATGACATTGTTTTAAGTGTAAAGAAATTGACACTTGTCATAAGAAGAAGAGAAAAGGTCCAAAAGAGAAGGTTGGAGAGAAGGTTGCTAGCACTCCCCTTTTTCCTTTCCTTTCCTATTGCCAAATTGGACTTAATTTGACTCAACTCACTCTATATATAGTATAATCAGAAGACACAAAATGAAAGAGTTTGATTTACAGTGTCTACAATAGAAAAATATTTTCACACACATAAAGGTAGGGTAAATTTTATTTTTGGGTTATGAATAATGCTACTCTTACCACATTTGTATACCACATCTCTATACCATCTTATGTGACAGCTGATGTAGACAGCCACATCAATTAAAATTATTTAATATTTTATTTTCTTTTATGATTTATTCCAGTATTTGTTTTTCTAATTGTTTTAATTAAAATACATTTCATTGATTTAATTGATGTGACATATAATATGGACATGCCACATCACGTGGTATAGAAATGTGAGATAAAAATGTGATAAGTGTAGCATTACTCTTGTGTGTCTAATATTGGTCGCCCAATATTAGCTGCCAGAGAAGATGGTCATCGAATATGGTCAAAATCACTCACTCAATAGTTGAACTCAATACTCTCGCTCGATCGTGATCGCTTACTTGTTGCAGAGAAATAGAGATAGAGACAGAGACAGAGAGACGAAAAGAAGAGGGAATGTATTGTTGTGGCGCTATTTTGGTTTTCAAAATATAAAATGAAAAGTCGTTGTGATAACTCGGTGAGTCAATTACTGAGTTGTTGAGCGTAAAAAAGTAAAAAGTACAAAAAAAGGCGGAAACAACTGCACACAAAATTTAAAAGAAGATAGTTTGATTTAACTTGTATTTAAATAAATTTCAGACGTATATAAATGAATAAATTTCAGATGCAAAATTTTAAGAACATATTTTTCCTTTCCTTTTTTATTTCCAAATTGGACTTAATTTGACTCAACTCACTCTGTATTAGAGTATGTCCACCCCAAAAAGCTAAGGCTAAGGAAAAGGCAATGCAATGGCTGCTACTATTCACGTAAATAGTGGCAGCCTTGCCTTTTTTGGTTCCACCCCAAAAGGCTAGGGTAAGGGCAAGAAAAGAAAAGAGAATATGCAACAAAATATAAACTTGTTATGTATTTTATAGGGAAAGTGAATAAAATTGTTATGTATTTATAGGGAAAAATTCATAATTTTTTGGTTTTTTCTTTAAAAAAAAATTGATTTTTTTCTTCCTTTTTTTCCATTTTTTGAATTTTTTTTTATTCGCTAACGTCAGCGTGACGTCACCGCCTTCGGACTAAAGCCCAGGCAAGATCTGCCCTTGGGCTTGCCCGGGCTGGTGGGACCCAGGGCTTGCCCGAGCTACTTCTTCTGCGCTGGAGGTCTAAAACCCATCAAAGGGGCGTTTAGCCAAGGCAAGAGGCCCTGCGATGGAGGTGCTCTTAGAGGTGGGCATCGGGACTGAAAAACTGGAACACCGAACCGAACTGATGAAAAAAATTTGGTTGACCAAAAAAGTCAACAAATTGGATTGGAACAGGACTGAACCGGTTCCGGTTTTACACCGCACCACACCGGACCGGTCATATATATATATATATATATTACAAATTTTTAAAATCTAATGCCATATTTTAAATTTTATAATCACTATTTTTCCAAATTCAACTTCAAAAAATTTCTAAATGTATGAATTGGATTATTTGTTAATTTTTAAGCCAAAAAAAAAGTTATTTTTTTAAAAAAAATTTGTTAAATTAATAATCCAGTTCAAAACCAAAATCGGTCATAACCGAACCGGTCTGTTCCTGATTTTTTTTTTTTTTGCCTAAATCGGACCAATTAAATAGTACCGGTTTCGATTCAGGTTTGAGGTAAGAACCGGACCGAACTGTACCGCGCCCACCCCTACTCTGTATATTGGATTAGTTGATTAGTCAAAAGGTAAAATCAGAAGACACAAAATAAAAGAGATTGATTTATAGTATCTACAATAGAAAATATTTTCACACGCATAAAGGTAGGTTTAATTTTATTTTTTATTTTTGAGAATTATTGAAATAAAAATAAATAAAAATATAATCTACATGACAATATTCATTAATTCACATGGCATGACCACATCAATTGTAACATAAGGTTCTAATGTGGTCAATCTTGTATGTCTAAATAGCGTTCCTACTTTTTTTTTATTCTTTTTTAATAATTCTTAACCTTTCAAGTCTTGTTATCAGTGAACCCATATTATAACACATGTATATTTTGATTCATATTATAAGAAGTTTGCTTGGGATGAATATAATTTTTTATATTCTTTTTGCCAATGTAACATGCATATAAGGAAAATACTGAGCTTGATATACTAGACTGGTGGCGAAGTGAGACGTGAAAATGGGTTTAGGGGGAAGGTCAGTTAAAGTCACTTTCAAGGGGCAAAGTGAAATTTGGGACATCTTTCAATGGCACTAGAATAATTAAACCTTATATAATCCATCAAAGTGTTTACTACAAGATATTATATGTTAGAGCATCTCCAACTGATGTGTCAAAAGTGCCACATAGACATTTAACGGTTAGAAATAACATCTCACATCACTCCAACCAATGTGTCAAAATTGATGTGGAATGAAGGCTGGAGGTTGAGATGTTATTTTTGACATTTCAAAAGAAAGATGTCAAATAAATATTTTATTATTATTATTTTCTTTTCTTTTTAATTAAAAATAAATCAACACTAAAATGTAATAAAATAATAATTTAATTGACATATTGGGTGGAGTGTAAAGCTGTGTAAAATGTCAAATTGTCAAATCAGCCATTAAATTTAAATTTGATGTTTAGTGTTTGACATCTCCCTTGGAGATGCTCTTAGTATAAATTAGGCCAAATAGAGGTCTAGTCCCATTGCACCTTGGTAGTGTGTGTGTGTGTGTGTGAAACTCCCTTTTCTTTATAGTTTAGTCTATCGCTTGTATTAAACAAATGTATGAATTAGGAATGTGGCAAAAATCACCAAAACATTTCAAACCATCCAAAGTTAAACCTATACCTACCATCAAGTTTGATTTTTACACTAAAAATGTATCATTTCAATTAGAAATGAACAAAACAGCAATTAGTTGGTTTATGACATTTGACTTATATGTTCCAACCCATACGTTGACATCAAACATTTACTAGCAAAAGCTAAAATCTCCAGGTCATTTAAATTTGGTATCATCTCTCCAAAAATTTCACAATTTACAACGGTCGAAAGTTTTCTCAACTATAATGACAAAATAACTAAAGCACACCAGTCACTAAATGAATTGATTTTATTCAATTATATACCTAGGTTAATGTCAGAAGTGAACCAAATCGAATAACGTCCACCCTTAGTATAAAACTGTAATTTTTTTTTCTTTAATAACATGAGATTTGTTTTTATGAAGAATAATGCTACTCTTACCACATTTGTATACCACATCCCTATACCATCTTATGTGGCAGCTGCGGTGGACAGCCACATCAATTAAAATCATTTAATATTTTATTTTCTTTTATGATTTATTACAGTATTTGTTTTTCTAATTGTCTTAATTAAAATACAATTCATTGATTTAATTGATGTGACATATAATATGGACATGCCACACCATGTGGTATAGAAATGTGGGATAAAAAATGTGGTAAGTATAGCATTACTCTTTTATGAATAATAAAGGGAGATTAAAACCTGAAACACCAAGACAAACAATCATGTCCAGCTGTTTTAATTAAATGCATATCATTAAACTCATTTAAAATTGCACACAAAATTTAAAAGAAGATAGTTTGATTTAACTTATCTATAATTGAAATAAATTTCAAATGCATATAAATGAATAAATATATTTTACCCATCATGCAAAATTTTAAGAAAATATTATTCCTTTCCTTTCCTATTGCTAAATTGGACTTAATTTGACTTGACTCACTATATATGCGTATATATATGGGGTATATAATAAGGCGTTTTAGTTAAAATGCTCTTAACCATGACTTCGTGTTTCACTTTTGCCCCATGCCGTCAACTCCGTTCCAAACTTCGTCAAAAAATGATGACGTGGCAGGGATAATATAGTCTTTCTCACGCCTTGAACCCGGAGGTCAGTGGAAACCCAGCGCCCAGTGCGTGAGAAAATAAAAAGTAAAATAAAATAAAACTAAAGCCAAAATATGAGTTTAAAATAAACTTCTCTTATAAAAATAAATCCAAAATTTTACAACTTTACAATAAATAAATAAAGCTCTATCATTCTCATCTAATTCAGCATCAACTGATTTAGTCCTTGTCTTACCCACTAATTCATCTAAAAAATTAAACAGGGTGAGGGATGAGCAATCACCGCTCAGTTAGTAGATTATGTAATATGTCAGTCAAGCAATGCCATTTTACACACTTTAAAAAATATCATGAAAAGATACACCAATCTAGATTTATCTCTTCATATTTCGGTTATCCTTCATAGCATGTAACCAACCACGTGACCCTTATTGGCCTTACTGCCCTATGTCCTCGTGTGATAAATCTATCTCTTGGATACCCTAACATTGAAGTTCTCATGTTCCATGAATAATACATACTTCACAAATATTCCAATCAATATATGTGTGTGTGTGTGTGTGTGTGAAAGATTGCTCCAAATTAGACATGCTTGACTTGAAATAGAGAGATATTTGTAAATAGAACAAATTCACGATAATTCATGGTTTTCATATTTTATTACAAAATAAGAACTTTTAGAACAAATTACATAAACCACTCACATCGATAATGAGAGTCCTTAAAATAAATTGGTAAGACAACCTATGTACCTATCTTTATGTATTATCACCCAAACTAAGCTCCAAGAGTTTCATCATCACTCTCTCTCCTTCTTTCCAATTTCTCATGTTTTGAAACTATAAGGTTATGCTCATATTTATAGTGTTTATAGGGATATCTTCAATATTAAAAGGATAAGAACATCCAAGTTTATCCAAAAGATAAATATCCTAACAAGATAAGATTATCCAAGTTTATCCAAAAGATAATATCATCCAAGTTTATCCAAATGATAAATATCTTATTTTATCCTTTTAAAATACGGGTCTTTACAGTCTTTTTGTCCTAAATTGCTTTTTTCCCCTAATGTGAGATGAGCATGTGGCAATATGTGGAGCCTACCTCTATATATCCAATTGTTTTTTTTTTAAGAAATGAATTAAACAAAAATATAACGGAAAAACAAAAAACCTGTGTAAACTTTTCGTTTTTCGGGTATCTTTTTAAGGATTGTGAGTTGGGCAAAACAGAAATCGCTTCACCATTTGATTTTCATCACCGACATTTCAATGTTTAACTTAACTGCAGTATTTGTTTATTTATTTGAAGTTTAATAATTAAGTGGTTTTCAAGTTGACTGATTTTTCAAATTGCCTTCCCTATTTATTTTGAAGCAAAGTAGCCGTAAAAAGATCGAGACAAAACACAACACTCCTAGAACGAAAAAAGAAAACCAAGTTAGAGAAATAAGATTGATCTGCAAAAGACTACCAAAAGGGTAAAATTATAAACAACGTGACGATTTTCTCAGATGGTTACAAATGCACAAACTCTTCCAGAGGAAAAGTGAGTTCAATTGCAGCCATAACTAACAAAAATAGATGGCAAGATTATTGTCTCCTAGCACTATACCATGGAAAGAGCCCTCTACTCTGGAGTCATATTTAAAAAATCTAACGCCCCATCACAACCTCGTCAAAGTTCCAGTCTTGCACGATGTCCCTTCTCACAGCCCGGCTTCGAACTAGCCGTGGAGCACCTGACATGGAACCGCTGTTTGGAAGAGTTGGTTGTGGGGTTACTTTGGATGATGCAATGTTGGAATGTGTTGGTAGTGGAAAAGATGGCCTCCTCGCTAAGCAGTTGGCAATGGCAGAACATCTTCCCTCATTTTCTGCACTTGAAACAGAGTAACTCCTAAAAGAGTGCGATGGACTTTCTACACTATGGCACACCAGGCATGCCAGACTCATATTTGGACTTAAAAAAAGCTGTCACCTACGGCAGAGTTCCTTGCTGCAATTAATGCCAAGAAACATAAAGTTAGAATTTTACGTTCAGATATGACAGTAAAACATAATACAGCACCGTAAGAGAAAAATACAGATGTGCTGCTACGAACACCGGAGTAAACTAAATTATGGGATAATTAACTGGCAACCTAAATTAACATAAGTGAAAAAGAGAAAATCTATTAGGAAAAGATGGCAGGGCAAACTCTTTTTTTCTTTTCACTTTTATCTTCTGGTTTTTCTTCTTTCTTTGTGTGCAATATAAATTACATGCGACTGGAGTGAAGGATCAAGCAAACTCTTAGGAGCTGGAAACTGAGCATTTTTCAACTGTTTCTACTAGTAATCATAGACAACTAGTAATTTCTTTATCCAAGGAACGCAATGGACCAGGTAACTGAAACATTAAAACTGGGGACTGCACACTATGCCATGTTGTATAAACTATATCAGAGCATTATTCTCGTGTTCTATTCTCTTTTGAACAGTGAGTATTATTCTCGTGTTCTTTTCTCTTTTAAACAGAGTATTATTCTCATGTTCAAGAGATTATAATAAAAACATCATCATAATCTAACAAATGTTAGAACAGAGTGAGAAAACTGCACATTGATTCTGCATAATGCTTTTGTATGTGTGAGCATGCACAAACAAAAGTAAGTTAAGAACTTTAGGTTTTTTTTTTTGGTCGAAACTATTCTGAAGGTTCGGTCGGTCAAATACATCTGTATATTCACTCCATAGCTACAAACATGTAATCCATAATGTTGTCAGACCTCATCTAATGGTTAACCCAAAATCGATCAAGTTCACAATAGAATGTTTAACACTAGATTCAACTTCAGTCATGCAGAGACACATATATTTTCTTTAATTTCTCAACCTCTCTCTATGGCAAAGGTTGTGTATAAAAAAAGCTGGGAGCCTTGAAACAAGATCCGAAGCCAATGACGACCATTTAACTAGAGAGGATGCTGTGCCCAACATGCAATATGCATGCGCTAGTACAAAATGCCAATAGGTTTAAACACAGGTGTCACTGTCATGTGTAACAGAAGAGTACCCGAAGAAGAAAAACAAAAATTTATAAGTGAAAGAAATAAAGAAAATTAAATACAAGAAGTGCCAGTACGAGACTACCACCCTTGCCCCCCTGAGCCGTCTGTCATAAGAAAGACAGAAACGTTCACTGGTTCAGAACAAGGTGCTCAAGGCATTTCTCTTGTTTGTGAAATTCCCCAAAGGTGTATTCCTCTAGGAACGAGGTGCATAAGACGTGGTTTTTTATGCTAAACAACATGAAAAACTGCTCTGTCAGCTTCTTATAGAAACAAAAGACCTAAGAAAATCCCCATATCATCTCTGCCATTTGGAAGTTCCAAATCCAAAAAAATCCAAAACCCAGCCATATTATCTCTGTCCATCACTAGTAGCTCTAAGCCTGTATCCCCTGTAAAAACACCTCAAGTACCATAAGCAGTTCCAGCTCTAACCCCTGCATTTGTTTTCCTTTTTATCTCTGCAATTCTATACTAACTGTAATCAACAATACAGCCGGGTTGTCATGAAGAAAATGCAATGGGGGCCTTTTATATTCTCAACTATAAAATTCAAGTTTCACATTGCAAGTACTCAAACGCCTCACATTTTGCTTTATTCTTTGAAAACATTGGTTTAGAAGATAAGACTCCAAAGCTTGTCACACAGACTCAAATATTATCTTCCATAAGCAATTCTCGCACCAAACCAAATATTATCTTCCATAATGAAATTAATTCCATCTCTCGAATAGTAAAAGAAAAGACCAAATGACAACTCAGTGAACCAACATTAGAATGCACTCCACACATTCAATGGAATTAGATGTTTCCCATCCTATCACGGTTTAAGCATAATCACAACTGTAATTCATTGTTTAGACAGCATGAAATCAATGAATTTGATGTGTAACTCTTGTGTTCCATTGGACCTGGCTAGCACAAAACTTCATCTTAATTGAAAGACCAGGACATAGTAAAAGTATAAAATGCTAGCTGACTAAATGAAACTAATAAGAGACAATAATATGAACTGGCCGTCACAATAAACCAGTACTACTACGTGAATAGCCTATCCTGTTGAATTGAGCGAAATCTTAGGTTGACGATAACTTAATAGAATTACATTATTCCTGCTTTAGACAAGCTATCTTGAAATATGGTAACAAAACAGAGATTGCAGAACTAGTGCTTATCATTTGTAGTAGTGCTGACTGCTGAGCAAGAGATTATAAGTTGTGTTTAGAAGGTTGGAGAGCAAGACATACACACCCAAACACTTGGACAGTGACAGTACTCCGATCAAATTCCAACACATAACCTCATAGGTGGAAGTTTTACATGTCACAGGAAGGAACTCGATTTATGGTGTGGACAACTGTGAGATTGGTGATGCATGACAACACAAGGTGGGTGTTTCCTATGATTACTGCAAGTTCGGATGATAAAAATTTGAATTCATAAAGTAATTTAAGTAGTTCCTAAATTATCTATTCCTTTTTGGTGAAGAGCAACACACATAGACAATACACACAACACACACCCTATTCACCTACGAACATGATGCGGACCTGTTCTGAATAGAAAGAACACTTCATTTACTTAATAAGCTTACTCTTAAGGGATGCATCTAACTTCTCATAGCCGGTTCTACTTTCTACCCCAGAAAATTGAATGCAAGTTTACTTCTAAACAAATAAAGAAAGAAAAAGAACAACTTACAACACTTAATCATGTTCCTAGTTAAACAATGTGCATGAAAACCCAACCCCAGAATCATCCTAGCAGCAAAAAAAATTCTTTATCCCCAGATCTTTTAAAGAAAAGGAACCCATTAAAGAAAAAGCAAAGAAAACCGGTATTTGATCCTCCCACGGGCATTGAATAAAAATGAATTTCTAAGAAAGTTGGGAGCTAAGGCACTTGCATTAAAGAACACCCAGAAACCAGTAAACCAAAACTTAAACAGACAAATACAGAAAAAAGATGCATGCAAATGAGAAACGCTCATTTAAGATCCAATCAAGGAATAAATGAACAGAAACAAAGGATCTAATACTGGAATTAACAAAAGAAAGTGAAGACAGAGGAGCTGAGATCTGAGAGACATACCTCTGTGTTCTATGCTCGGGTGTCTGCGTGGGCGGTATTGCAATGTCAAGGTGGTGTTGATTCAGGGGAGGCTGAAAAGAAGGATCTGCTGCCTCTGAGAGAGAGAGAGAGAGAGAGAGAGAGAGAGAGAGAGTGAGAGAGAGAGTAGACTTTGTTGTATTTATATGTGGTAATTGGTAAAGGAGAAAGAGAGGATCAGATTCTACAATTCATTGATGTTACCCTACGCTTATGGAGAATGAATTTGTACTTCCATGGAGAATGTATGATGAATGTTGAGCTATATTAAATGTTTCAAGATTTCCCTTTATATTAGCTTTTTTTTCTTTCTTCTTATTAATGTAAAAAAGCCCTTCTTAATTTCAGTGTTAATTGGCATTGAATTTTCAAGGGGCAAAACACAGGGGTTTTATACATGTTGAATTTGCAACTTCGTTGGGTAACATTCGTGTAAAGCAAACCTCTATTTCATATTGTTTTTTCCTTATCAGTAAACTGATTTAGACACGAAAAAGAAAAATTGATGAATTAATAAATGGCAACCCAAGAAAAAAGTTATAAGCAGAGGAATTCATGCATTGAGCTTGAGTTTCATTATAATAGTGCACAATCAATATATACAACTTATTTAGCATAATAGTAAGAAGCATTTAAAACTCATTTAACATAATAATGTTCCCCATTATGGAATAAATAATCCACCGTCATAAAATATTTAACAAATTCGTTATGAAAAATGCCACAATAGAGTAGAATTAGCAATTGGTTCAGAATGTAATAATTGTAGAACGCTCTTGCTCCTTAAGAAATAGGATAAAATTTTAAAACAGTTTGGCAACTTGAATCGGCCCAAAACTATCAATTCATTGGAAGACGAATATCACTACTAGTTAGAGATTTTTGTATTGCTTAAGGATGTACCAAGTTAAAGCTCAGCTATTTATTTCTGTACAAATTTCGTAAACCCCAAACAATATACAGGTTTCTCACCCAAGAACATAATGTGGACCTCTTCTGAATGGAAAGAAGGCTTCATTTACTTAATATGCTTACTCTTAAGGGATGCATCTAACTTCACATTGCCAGTTCTACATGCACATTAAGACAATTGAATGCAAATTTACTTCTAAACAAATAAAGAAAGAAAAAGAAAAAATTATAACACTTAATCATATTCCTAGATAAACAGTGTGGAAGAAAACCCAACCCCACAATCCTTCTAGCGGCTAACAATTCTTTATCCCCAGATCTTCTAAAAAGAAGAACCCATTACAGAAAAAAAGTAAAGAAAACCGTTATTTGATCCTCCCACGGGGAATTGAATAAAAATGAATTCTGAGAAAGTTGGGGAGTTAAGGCACTTACATTAAAGAACACCCAGAAACCAGTGAACCAAAACCTAAACAGACAAATACAGAAAAAGATAAACGCATGCAAATGAGAAAAGCTTCTTTAAGATCCAATCAAGGAATAATTGAACAGAAACAAAGGATCTAATACTGGAATTAAGAAGAGCAAGTGAAGACAGAGGAGCTGAGATCAGAGAGAGGCACCTCTGTGTTCTCTGCTCGGGTTTCTGCGTGGGTGGTATTGCAATGTCAAGGTGGTGTTGACGGTGGCGTTGATTCTGGGGAGGCTGAAAAGTAGGATCTGCTGACTGCAAGAGAGCGAGAGAGAGTGAGAGAGTAGACTTTGTCGTATTTATACGTGGTAATTGGTAAAGGAGAGAGAGGATCAGATTCTACAATGCCAGGACGAGCTTTTGTGACTATTGGAATTGTGGTCCGCCTAAAATCTTTGTAACACCAGCCTCCAACCAATTGAGGAATTGTTGGTTTTTGAAAGGAATTACAAATATATTTGAGTTGAAATTAGTCCCACGTTGAAAAATTATAGTTCCTTAAAAGGTCTTTATAAGACCTATTTTAGGAAATAAAATAGTTATGATTGAGCTATACAAGTGGTCCAATTGAGTGGCTTATTGAGTTTGATCTTTAGGTCAATGTCCAATTAGTTGGTCAATGATTAATTAATATATGTAAATAATATATATTTAATTAGTCAAAAGATGGGCCTTGGGGCTTTTGGGCTCTGTGATTTAAAATTAAATTAATTTTGAATTAATTATTTGAATTATTTTTTAAAATTCAAATATCAGATAAGTTTGTCTAATTGGGTTTGATAGTTATATGAAACGCAGAGTTCATTCTAAGTCATATTCATGTAGCCTGAGAGATAAACATACAGAATTCGCCAAAAATCAAAGCCCTAGTGTTAGACTTTGTTTTAAGATAGTTGTATCATGATGGAGCAGACGCCTGCAGAACTATAAGCATTGAGTAGGGGCGAAATTCTGTTTCAAGGACATTGCAATCTGCAAGCCTCTATCTGGAAAACCAGTCAGCTTTATTTTATTGTCTTATTTAATTTCGTAATTTTGTTTACTGTTTAAATTAAGAGTGGTGATTTCCCTACTCCAATTTTATCTACTTACACTCCATTTTATAACTAAAAAAAGAGTGTAAGTGGATAAAATTAGAGTGGGGAAATCATTACCCTAAATTAATTGTTGAATTACATTATTAGTGTAATAATGATTGTTGTTTCACAAACAATCTTGAAAAAGAATTTATGGATCAACAATCAGTGTCTGCTAATGGCGTTAATGGGGCTAAGAATCCTCATCTGAAAAGCGATGGTAGCAAAAGATGTTGTTTTATTTAACAACAATGAACTTGGCAAATGTTATCAAAGAAGAAGTTCCAGTGGTAAAAGAGAATCTTATTCCAAAGGAAACTCTAAGTGCCATAAATGCTTGGAAGCATTTCAAATTTTGTCGCAGGAACTATATCTTGAACAGTCTAGAAGATAATCTTTATGATATTTATTCAGCTTGTAAAACAGCTAAGGAATTATAGAAATCACCGGAGAAAAAATATAAAATCGAAGATGCTGGTTCTAAGAAGTTTGTCATTAGCAAATTTCTGAAATTCAGTATGGTGGATTCCAGGTCTGTCATCGCACAATTTGAAGAACTCCAGAAGTTAATCTCCGAACTTCATGTTGAGGGGGATGTTCAATTAATGAACACTTTCAGGTTGGTGCAATAATTGAGAAATTGCCACCATCTTGGAATGATTTCGAGACCTCAAGCATAAGCGCAGAGATATGAATACGGAAGATCTCATTCTCAGGCTACAAGTGGAAGAGGATCATAGGAAGGGTGATAAAAAATGATGTGTCTGCCTTAGAAGCCAATGCCAAACCTTCAAGCCAAAGAGTCAATCCAAGAAGAATAAGGGCAAAAATTTTAACAAGCAAGCCATGCACAAAAAACAAAGGATTTCAAGAAGATTAAAGGCTCTTGCTTGGTTTGTGGAAAACCAGGCCACAAAGCACAAGAATGCAGCCACCGAAGGGACCATAATCCTGCCAATCAAGGCAACAATCATGGGCGAAACAACCAGGCCAATGTGATTGAGGATTTTGTTGCTTTTGTTTCAGAAACCAATATAGTTTCAAATGATAAAGATTAGTGGATTGATACAGGTGCTACCAAGCATATCTGTGGTGACAGAAACATATTTTCTTATTACCATCAGATTTGTGGTGGAGAAAAGCTGTATCTGGGCAATGCCTCTGCTTTTGTAATTCAAGGAAAAGGCAAAGTGGTGCTGAAATTCACTTCTGGAAAGAACCTGACCGTGCAGAATGTGCTGCAAGTTCTAGAAATTAGGAATAACCTTGTGTCAGGCTCATTGTTGAGTAACAAGGGATTTAAACTTGTATTTGAGTTTGACAAGTTTGTCCTAACTAAGGGGGGAACGTTTGTAGGAAAAGGCTACTTGGCTGATGGTCTTTTCAAACTCAATGTATTGGCTTTTGATGCTATAAATTAAATAAATAAGACTTCTACTTATATTGTTGAGTCATCTAATTTATGGCATGCTAGATTATGACATGTTAATTTTCATTCCTTACATAGAACGTGTAATTTTGGATTATTACCAAAATTTAATATTGATTTCAATAATAAGTGCCAAACATGTACGGAATCCAAATTTGCTAGACAAACTTTTAAGTCAATTTTGGGAAGATAAAATGAATTACTTGGATTAATTCATAGTGATTTTTGTGACTTTAAGTCTACACCAACTCGTGGAGGGAAGAATTATTACATCTCCTTCACTGATGATTGCAGTAAGTTTTGCTATGTTTACTTGATTCATAGCAAAGATGAGGCTTTGAATATGTTTAAGACATATAAGGTTGAAGTAGAGAATCAACTTGAGAGAAAAATCAAGGTACTTAGATCAGATAGAGATGGGGAGTATGAATCTCAAGCCTTCTCTGATTTTTGTACTACACATGGAATTGTACATCAAACAATAGCTCCTTACACACCACAACAAAATGGTGTTGTAGAATGGAAAAATAGAACTTTTAAAGATATGATTAATTCCATGTTAAATAGCTCAGGGCTTCCGCACACACATGTGGGGTGAAGCATTACTTACTGCAAATAGAGTTTTAAATAAAATTCCACATAAGAAGACTAATAAGTCTCCTTATGAAATATGGAAATAAAGAATACCCACTTATAAAACATTGAAATTGTGGGGTTGTTTAGCAAAAGTACAATTGTGTTTACCAAAGCGAACTAAACTTGGACCAAAGACTATTGATTGTGTATTCATTGGATATGCAAACAATAGTGCTGCGTATAAATTTCTAGTAATGAAATCTGAAATTCCGGATATACATGTTAACACTATCATTGAATCAGTTAATGCATAATTCTTTGAGGAAATATATCCTTACAAAGAAAATAAATCTGGTTCAACTAGAAAGCGGTCATATGATCAAAGTCATGATGAAACTTCTTCATCGAGAGTTCAAGAAATAGATTCTGAGCCAAGAAGAGGAACAAGAACAATAGCACCAAAGAACTTTGGACCATATTTTCTTACTTTCTTGTCTGAAAGTGAACCACAAACTTATCATGAAGCCATAACTTCACCTGAGGCTCCTTTTTGGAGGGAAGCAATTAAAAGTGAAGTATTGTCCATTATGCAAAATAATACATAGGAATTGGTTGATTTACCTCTTGGTAATAAACCAATTGGACACAAATGGATTTTCAAAAAGAAGCTCAAAGCTAATGGCACCATTGATAAGTATAAGGCAAGTTTAGTTGCCAAAGGATACTGCCAAAAGGAGGGGTTGGATTATTTCGACACTTATTCTCCAGTTTCGCGTATTACATCTATTAGGATGTTAATAGCAATTGCAGCTATTTACAAATTGGATATACCCCAAATGGATGTAAAAACTACTTTTTTGAATGGAGATTTAGAAGAAGAAATATATATGGAACAACCTGAGGGGTTTGTGATTCAAGGACAAGAGAAGAAGGTGTGTAAACTTGAGAAGTCATTATATGGACTTAAACAAGCACCAAAACAATGGCATGAAAAGTTTGATCATACAATGTTGACACTTGGTTTCAAAATCAATGAGTGTGATAAATGTGTCTACATTAAAAGCAATGGTAATACTTGTGTCATTGTGTGCTTGTATGTTGATGACATGTTGATAATGGGAACAAGTAAGGATGTAATCAATAATACTAAGGCAATGTTGAACTCAAGTTTTGACATGAAGCTTAATAAAATAAAATAAAAAAGTTTTGACATGAAGGACTTAGGTCAAGCAGATGTCATACTTGGAATTCAAATTAAAAGGAACAATGATGGTTATATCCATACCCAATCTCAATATGTCGAAAAGATCTTCCGAAAATTTAGACATTTCGACAGTAAACCTGCTACAACTCTATTTGATGCCAATTGTAAATTAAAAAAACATGTTGGTGATGCCATTTCACAATTAGAATACTCCCAAGTGATTGGCAGTCTGATGTATGTGATGAACTTTACTAGACCTGACATACCTTACTCGATAAGTAGGCTTAGTAGATATACAAGCAATCCAAGACATGAGCATTGGGATGCTTTGATAAGGGTGTTACGATACTTAAAGAACGCCATGACTTATGGATTGCATTATACGAGATATCCACCTGTTTTAGAAGGATACAGTGATGCAAATTGGATTTCTGACAATACAGAAACCAAGTCAACTAGTAGATATGTTTTCACATTAGAAAGTGCATCAATATCTTGGAAATCCTCTAAACATATGTGTATAACACGTTCAACAATGGAATCAGAGTTTGTAGCCTTGGATGAAGCAGCTGAAGAAGCTGAATGGCTTAGAAACTTCCTTGAGGATATTCCATTATGGTCCAAGCCTGTGATTGCCATTTGCATACACTGTGATAGTATGACTGCCCAAGTAAGAGCTAAAAATAGTGTGTACAATGGCAAGGCTAGACATATAAGGCGAAGACACAATACGATTAGACAGTTGCTCTCAAATGCAGTCATTTCCATTGATTATGTAAAGTCCAAGGAAAATATAGTAGATCTTTTGACAAAAGGCCTACCAAGAGAGCAAACGCTATACGCATTGAGGGGAATGGGTCTAAACCCAATTCAATGAATCAAACCTAGCGGAAACCTAACATAGTTGATTGGAGATCCGATGGTCTAGGTTCAATAGGCGAACTGGTTGGGGATGATTCAAAGTATTGAACACACAAAATGCCCATTTCTATGATATGTGTGTGTTGTCTATTGATGATTGAGGGTATGCTTATGCATTTAATGACAGTAATACCTTGTGATCAAGAGGAATATGACAGACT